TCAACATATCGTATTACAACTGCCATTTGCTCATTGATTGATATGTCACGGGCTTCATCAATCAAAATAGAAAAAGTGCATCACCAAGATCTCTAATAATCACATTGATAGCTTCAAATGCGGCCACATTTATAATGTTTTTTGGAATATCAGGAAATGTTAACTTGAGATTTTGTGGAGTATTGCTCAATGCAACCACTTTGACATTTTCATTACGATTAGCAAGAAAATTGAGAAGTTCAAGAAAATTTCCTTTGTAACGCCCCAACCTTTCACATGTCGTCGATATTGTCTACTTTGAGCCATGCTCGCACATATTTATTCTTCCCAGCGGGTCATCCATCCAGCTTTTGTCTATTTGTCTATTTTGCTGACTTAGGTATCAGAAAGGTATTCGGCACACACCCGCCGACTAGCTCACATTTGTGTTTTCAGGGAGTAAAGCGACGACGTTTGAAGGAGCGCAAACTTGATCAACAGGATTATACGAGAAGATTATTTCGTGCTCGTACAGATAGAATATCGATAATATATGTATCAAGTTGATCATTAAGTACCATGAGCTCCATTGAAGAAAATTCTTTGGGATAAAATTCGGCAAGATGAATTAACTTTTTCTTGTCAAAACTAGAGAAAGAGTTAGATGGATTCAAACATGCCACACAAAGTAACAACTTAGTGTTCGACTCAATGAAACTAGGAACGGCAATTTAAAACCGACCTGGCGGGGATCCCTGACCCCGATCCCGATTTACGTGGTTTTTTCCCGAAAAATATCCCCGACGGGGAGAAGACGGTATTTGAAAATCAATCTCCGATCTGTTTCGGGCCGGGGACAATGATCAGTGTTCAAGCCCCGGCCCGGCCCTGGCCCCATCCCCGAGTATCCCCGAAATAAAATTACATTTATACCCTTTATATGTATATATATAATAAACCCCTTATATTATATGCATATATATATATATATATATATAATATATATGTTAGTGTTGTTTTAGATCTCACTCTCTAATCCCTTTCTGACTCTACTCTCTCTCTTAACTCTCTCGTTCTCTCTGGCCCCGACCCCCTCTCTCTCTCCATTTCGTCTCTCTATATTCTATCTTCCCTCTCTCTCATTCAGTAGATCGAAGGGACAGTCGGCGTCGGAGGCAGTCGACGTTGGAGGGGAGTAGTCCAATCGTGGATCGGGGACGGGGAGGGTGATCCCCGGCCCCGTCCCGCCCCGTTGCCATTCCTAAGTGAAACGAGTATTTAGTTCTTGAATTTGCATATCCAAAACAATGTAGAATAACTCAGCGCGATAGTGATGTAAGTTTGTAATTTCTTGAGTATTGCTCATTTTTCTCCCTCAAGCTACAAATATATCATCCATTCAATTTCATGCTTTTCACAAAAAGACAAAGTATCATCAAGTAAAGATGTCTACCCAGTCTCCCTCATCTTTTGGAGCTGTACTTTAGAAATTTGAACTATATTCATGGCATTAACAATATCTTGATCTTTCGTTTGTAGTTATTGCGATAACTCACTTTTAATAGCCAATATCGTTTTTATCAAATGAAGGTTGAATACAAACTCAAATAATTGAATTGAGTCTAACAATACATTTGATTCTGCTCGTTGCTCTAAATCTGAACTATCCTCCGAAATCATTTCAAGCACATCAATCACTGTTGAAACATATCAGCCAAGCTGACTAAAGTACCATAGTGTGAACCTCAATGTGTATCACCGGCACATTTAAGATTAGTTTCTTGATTTAAGCCTTGCCCACCAGATAGCTCTCCAGTATTAAGTGCCTCAATAACTTTTGCAGTTTGCTTCTCTTTAACAATATATCATTTACATGATGCTCCAACAACATTTACCACATTAGAAACCAAAGTGAAAAGTAAAGCAATTTGATTATGATTTTTTGCCACGGCTACAAGTGCCAATTGCAATTGATGAGCAAAACAATGAACAAAATATGTACAAGAATTCTCTTTTAGTATAAGTGTTTTAAGACCTTTGAACTCACCTTGCATATTACTAGCCCCATCATATCCTTGACCCTGCAATATGGAAATACTCAATCCAAGTTTGGAGAATAAATTTTCCACAGCTTGTTTGAGTGAGAGAGCATTCGTATTAGCAACATGCTCAATACCCAAAAAAACGCTCAATCACTTGGCCTTTTTTGTCAACATATCGTATTACAACTGCCATTTGCTCATTGATTGATATGTCACGGGCTTCATCAATCAAAATAGAAAAATGTGCATCACCAAGATCTCTAATAATCACATTGATAGTTTCAAATGCGGCCACATTTATAATGTTTTTTTGAATATCAGGAAATGTTAACTTGAGATTTTGTGGAGCATTGCTCAATGCAACCGCTTTGACATCTTCATTACGATTAGCAAGAAAATTGAGAAGTTCAAGAAAATTTCCTTTGTAACGCCTCAACCTTTCACATGTCGTCGATATTGTCTACTTTGAGCCATGCTCGCACATATTTATTCTTCCCAGTGGGTCATCCATCCTAGAACTACTCCAGCTTAAGCACGCTTAACGAG